TGAGCTGCTCTCCTGCACTGCACTGATACTGAAATTATTTTTTTAAGTTTATTTATTTTGAGAGAGATACTGCACAAATGGGGGAGGGGCAGAGAGAGGGAGAGAGGGAGAATCCCAAGCAGGCTCCACGCTGGCAGGACAGAGCCCAATGCGGGGCTCGAACTCACAAATGGTGAGATCATGACTGGAGCTAAAATCAAGAGTCAGATGCCTAACAGACTGAGCCACCTGGCACCCCGATATTGAGATTTTTAATAGTATCACAAAGATTGGCATTTTTTGTTAAATACTAAAGTGACAATAGTAACCATACTTAATAGTAATGAGTGTGGCATAAGAAGGCTTGCAGCTTGCTGCTAACAATCTGAGTTTTAACAAAATGTTGCTTGTGCTGTCAGACCAACACACGAGAAAAGGGTTATATCTCTAGTTCAGTGAAGTTGTCTCTGATGACTGTTTAAAATTGTAAACTGCCAGGGCACCTGGTTGGCTCAGTCGGTAGAGCATGCGACTCTTGAACTCAGGGTCATGAGTTCAAGCCCCACATTAGATATAGAGCTTACCTTAAAAAAAGAAAGGAAGGAAGGATGGACAGAAGGAAGGAAGAGGAAGAAAGGAAGAAAGAAAGAGAAAATTTTTAAAAAATTGCTAACTGCCTCCCCACCGTGAAGCTCCTTGACCTTTTCCTGCTTTATTTTTCTCTTGACTATTTGTCACCGTGTCAGATAATATGCATTTTACTCATTTTGCATATTGACTGATCCCCTCCGCTCAATAGGAAGCAAGCTTATTTACTGAAGGCTCAACTGTCTGCTATCTCCTTCATGTTTAGAACAGTGCCTGGCACATGGAGGTTCTCAATGCATATTTCTAGGATGAATGAATGAATCTTAATTGCTGTGAAATCATACATTAAAAGGCTCTTTGCCAAGAACAGTGCAGAAATCATCAGCTAATTTGGCTGCAAAATGTGGGGGATTTCTGTGAACAAAGAGTTGCATGATCCTGCAGAGAAACTTGTGTGAATTATTTTGCACACGTTAGGCCCACTCTGGGGAGGGAGGGGGATGGATTGTGTATGGGTGTTGGGGGATAGGACACTCAATTCCCTAGGGTCCTTTGAGACGCTTAACTCTTTCTTGGCACTGTTCGGGCGTTGTTGTGGTAAAGGGCAGGGTGTCCCTCAGAATCCTGAAAGAAAAGTAAAGGAATTTCATAGCCTGACTTTTGCTAATGGATAAATAATTGTCAACACAACACTTGGCCTGTTTTCTCACAGGGTTTGCTGAAGGAGTTTGACCACCATTTGCTCTCAGCTGCAGAAGCCTGCAAACTGGCAGCTGCCTTCAGTCCCTATACACCCCTCTTCGTGCTCACGGCTGTGGTAAGCAGGGTGCAGCCCCACACTCTACCTCTCCCCAGTGATGGAAGCTACCAGTGAGAGGAAAAGGGCTAACCTAAAGTAGGCTTTGTGCACTTCATTAGAGAATTGTAATCAGACCTCATGTATGGAAAGGTTTTATCAGTCAGGGTAGTGACATCCTGGTGGAAGCTAAATTAATTCAGCCTGCGGGTCTGATGTTGTCTGCCTGAGGCCAATGGTTCCCAAGCACAGCAGAATCACACAAGGAGTCTTCTCAAAATGCACATTCCTGATCCACCCTAGACCCACTAAATGCAAATGTCTGGGATTAGTACTCGGAAATCTTTTATTCTGAAATACTGCCCAGGTGCACAGAGGGGTTTGGAAGCCACTACTCTGTTGTTTTGATTATTGTTAAATAAATGATGTGTTTATATATAGCAGTCTTATTTCTCTTTTGCATAGAGAAACTTACTGTGTCCCTGTCCCATGTATAGACTGTTTGCTGAAACTAACAACAGCAGTAACAACAACAACAAGTTTATCATCTTTGATCAAAAAGTATCAGACCTGGGCTGGCTCAGTCAGAAGAGTATGTGACTCTCGATCTCAGAGTCATGAGTTCGAACCCCACTTTGGGTGCAGAGATTACTAAAAAAATAAATAAACTTTTTAAAAAAAGTATCAGGCCTATACTAAGATGGTAGTTAAAACTAATCTCTTACACCGTCATGCCAGCCAATCACATCCATCCCAGTCCCTTTCCCTGATTCACCAAAGAGACTTTAGGTCCTTGACTCAATATGTGATTGTGTATTTTTCTTAGAATATCTGTGCCACGTGTTTGTTTTCCTATAATATTTCTAATCACTGTCCTCCAGGAATGAAGTGTTTCCTGATTCACTTCCAGTTTCTATTTCAGTGTCTGATTATGTGCTTGGTATTTTCCTCAGAATATCCGTGGCACGTGCTTGTTGTCCTATACTAGCTCTAATGACTGTCCTGTGGAAATGAAAAATTCATATCTGTGTGAAGCCAAAGAGGCCTTTGAAATTGGCCTCCTCACCAAGAGATATGATGAACGAGTTAGTGGAAAACAAGAGCTTCACAGTCTTCTCAAAGCTGCTTTTGGCCTCACCACTGTGCACCAAAGACTGTATGGGGAGACAGAGGTGGTGCGTACAGCAAGTCAGCTCTGTCATGAAGCTATGGGAAAGCTGTACAGTTTCAGTACTTCCTCTGAAAGTCAGGAGAGAGAAACTCTCTCTCAGGAGATCATGTCAGTTATCACCCAGGTAAAGGATCATTTACAAATTCAAAGCTTCTCAAACTTAGATGACAAGTCTTATGTTCCAGAGAGTTTCAAGCACGGGTTGGATAAACCCATCTTGCATGGGCAAGTAGATTTCCAAAAAATCCTTGAAACCTATTCCCAACACCACACTTCAGTGTGCGAAGTTTTTGAGGGCTCTTGTGGGAACAACAAAGATAAACAGAAAGATACGAAAACGGGAGTCTGTATCACTACTCTAGAAACAGAGACAAAAAACATAGATACTGTGTGTACCACTGAAGACAAACCACATTTTCAAAAAAGCACCGTAATATCTTCCTCCCACAAGGCTAAGAATGGTCAAGAGAAACTCAGGAGGATAGCAAGGAAAAACTGGACCCATTCTGATGCCTTTCGAGTCTCCTTGGATCAAGATGGGGGAACTGAGTTTGAGTCATCAGATCACAGCCATGGTGAAGGAGCTGTTTTGAACAAGTCTCTGAGTGACAGCCAGTGCTCCAGTTCTTGGAGCGAATTATCGGTGGTTAGCTCTTCTACCAGCTGGGAGGAAGTGAATTATGTGGACGATAGGTCAACCAGAAAAGAGCCTTGCAAAGAAGTGCACCTTGTGGATACTGAGTGTTCCGCTGCCCCGTCTGAAGACATCAATGAGGAAACCAGACCTGTACATCCGCTATCTTCAGAGCTTCACGGTCTCTCTCTCCAAGTGTCCAAGGATGACAACTTAGAGTCTTTGCAAAGTCAACGACACAGCCACGTGCCCTTGAAAACCTCCCATCCTCATAACACAACAGGCATGTTCTCAGCGTCTGGGGCGGGGCTGTTAGAAGGAGTTCCAGAAGATGTGCAGAAAGCCAGAAATAGGGGATCCAGAAATACTTCTGCTCATTCCAGACCCTCGTTTGGTTCTGATTCTTTGTCCTCTTTTGATGCTGGTTGGCCCAAGAACACAGCCACATACCCTTTGGTCCAAGAAGAAGAAACCTTTGAACTAATTGATGAATTTCCAGAAATCAACTATGATGCCGAAGAAAGGCATGGAGAGGAAATCAAAAGAGGCACAGGCCTTACATTTAAAGAAAGTTCCGCCTGGGTTGACCCGGAAGGAGAAACAGCAGAAAAAGAAGAGGATATGCCCTTAGACTCTGACATAGTCATGGAGGATTCCCTGGGCCAACGTTCCAGGACAGCATGTAGCTTTTCCACTCTTCATTGGCCTGTTCAAAATCCTGACTCAGGAAAGAGCAGTGGCTCAGTCAAAGAGCAGGGCATCGACCCTGATGCCTCCACAGTGGATGAGGAGGGCCAATGGCTCGACAGCACAGATGTTCACCCCACAAGCAGACGTGGCTCTTACAGCCTATGTGCTCTGAGACAGTCGCGTGGTCAATGGCCTGAAACCCCCAACTCCTCTGTAAGCAGTAACATTCCCTCCTCTGATTTTAGCAAGGACTGCACTACCACGGAGGAGGGAAACAAACTAGGAAACATGCTAAACTGCAGCCAGAACTCCACCTCGTCCTCGGCAGGGTGGTTGAAATCACCAGCATTTTCCAGTGGTTCTTCTGAGGGGGAAAACCCGCAGTCCTTTCTGAATTCCAGTGGAAGTTCTTTTGTTTCATTGCCGGGAATGACAAGGCAAGAGATCCTAGAGGCTCGAACCCTGCTCCCTGATGACTTTGAAAAACTTTTGGCAGGGGTGAGACATGATTGGCTCCTACAGAGACTGGAGAATACAGGAGTTTTTAAGCCCAATCAACTGCACCAAGCATACAGTAAGTACAACCTTTCTAGTAGGTACAGCCTCAGGAAGTATCTATGATTCTGATCGAATAGCTCTGGGGTTTGGATCCAGGCATGAGTATTTTTTAAGAGCCCTCCAGTGGCTTTGTATAAAGCCAATGTCAATAACCTTTGCTTCAGGGTATTCCCGTGTTTTGCCTGCTGCCTTGAATTCAGACTAAAAAGACAGTTCAGGTTGTTACAAAAAAGGGCAAAACGTTCCACTATAATAGGGTTTCCCTATTTTCTATTCCCTATTTAGGGACTCTGAAGGTGCAGAATCACATTCCTTAGAGTTAAGTAACTGCTTTATTGTTATGTGCCAGTTTACAGGTGAAAAGCCATATGTACATGATCTCATACCCATTAGGGAAACATTATCATCCCCGGTGTACAGATAAGAAAAAGAGAGGAAGCCCAAAGTTGGAAAAACAAAACAAGTTGTACATTTCCTCCTTTCTTCTTCCCTCAATTCACTTAGCCTTCCTATGTATGTGTACAAGAGGCCCACCTTCTGTTTCCAACGCCAGCTTCTCTGATTGAGTTGCCCAGCCCTCGTCACTATCTTCCCCAGCCTCCAGTCATCTCCCTCCCCAACCCCAGACCCCTGAGTTTATCTTATTTTAAGTACTTTTTCTCCTGAGTCTTCTGTTCATTCATCCATTAACATGACCTGGATGCAGAAGGTCCTTGTTCACTTTATCTTAACTTGGATCCCAAAATGTTGCATTTCTTCCTTAGGGCTCATGTCTTTCCCCCTCAAAGAAATGCTTTCTTGCTAGCACTGTTCCTCCTTTCCTTCTGGTGGAGACAGTTTTTACTTTTCCTTCCTATCTTTTCCTTTTTCAATTGAGTAGCATCTTCGTACAGTAGCTCTTTTTCTCAAGTAATTCCTGGACTTTCCCAGCTTAAACAAAACAACTCAGAGAAAATTAAGGTGCACTTTAATATGTAACCATGATTTCTGGAGTTTCCAGGAATCTCTGAGGTATAATTGTTTCATTTATTTCTATCTATGTGGTCTGGCACACGTAGTAGCCTCCATTATCTGGGCCCCCCAGATAATTAGAAGATGCAAACATGTATCACTGTTCCAATATGAACTCTGGCATTTTACTGTTTAAAAAGCCCTTTATTTTTCACTGCTTTCTCATATATGTGTGTGTGTATGTGTGTGTATATATATATATATGTACATATATATGTATATGTATGTGTATATATATGTATGTGTATATGTATGTGTACATATGTATACATATGTATATGTATGTGTATGTGTACATATATATGTGTATGTGTATATATATGTATATGTATATATATGTATATATATGTGTATATATATGTATCTCATATATGTGTGTGTGTATATATATATGTGTATATATATATATACACACACACACACACACATACATATATATATATATTTGTTGTTGTTGTTGTTGTTTGTTTTTTTTAGAGAAGGAGCAGGGGAGAGAGAGAAAGAATCCCAAGTAGGCTCCACACTGCCAGTGAAGAGACTGGAACAGGGCTCAGTCCCATGAACCATATAAGATCATGACCTGAGCCAAAATCAAGAGTGGGACGCTCAATCAAATGAGCCACCCAGGTGCCCCTCCACTGCTTTCATACAGAAATTGTAGCCTTAATCCCTCTCCATCACAAGAGAAAGGTTTTGTGAATCTTCATTATACTTGCAAAGCTTTACTTTTTTATTGTACTTCACTAACTTTTTCATAGTATTCATAGAGAAGGCTAAAATTTGAGAAAATGTCTAAAGAAGCTAATGATTTCAGATAAGCTGGATTAGGATCTGTGTCACTTCAAATTTATTCATGAATTGTAACATCCCTTTGAAAATAACATCCAGGGGCGCTTGGGTGGCTCAGCTGGTTAAGCGTCTGACTTCCACTCACATTATGATCTGGTTCATGAGTTCAAGCCCCACGTCAGGCTCTGTGCTGACAGGTTGGAGCCTGGAGACTGCTTCAATTCTCTGTCTCCTTCTCTGCCCCCCACCCTTGTGTGTGTGTAGTCTCTCTCTCTCTTTCTCTCTCTCAAAATAAAATAAACGGGTAGGTCAGTCAGTTAAGTGTCCGAATTCAGCTCAGGTCATGATCTCACGGTTCATGGGTTCAATCCCCATGTCGGGCTTTGTGCTGACAGCTCAGAACCTGGAGTCTACTTCGGGTTCTGTGTCTCCCTCTCTCTCTATGCCCCTCCCCTGCTCATGCTCTGTTTCTGTCTCTCAAAAATAAAAATAAACATAAAAAAATAAAAATTAAAAAATTAAACTAAACTTTAAAATACAATTAACATCCATTTTTTCTTACCTTTTTTCCAGATGCTCTTTTATTAAAATATTCTAAAAAATCAGAATTATGGACAGCCCAGGAAACTGTTGTGTATTTGGGGAACTACCTGAATGTGAAGAAGAAAGGCAGACAAAGAAACGCTTTCTGGGTTCATCATCTTCATCAAGAAGAAACTCTGGGGAGGTATTTCTTTAAAACATCTATACCACTAATGTAAAATGGGCTAATTATGCCTTTCTCTTAATCATTTATGAAATTTTGAAAGAGCTGAAAAATTTAGCCAAAATACATATTTCAGATGTCTACTCCTTCCTCCAACTCATTAATTAATTAATAGCAGTTACCACACATTGACCACCATTATGTCAGCCATTTTACATAGATATACATGATGTCAAACCTATCAGGGAAACATTATTATCCCCATCGTACAGATAAGAAAATGGAGTTTCTGACCATGTGGCAGGACAGAGAGCCTTAAGCGCTCCCACTAAAAAATGCTGACAAAAAAATCTAGTTAAACTACAAAAGCTCCACTTATAAGTAATAAATGAGCCTGCAAAAAAGGTAGTAAAATCCTTTGAGCCTACAGATATGAAGCATATCCAGGGATATAAATGTATACGAGCCCCTAGGACACTCTGTACAAGTTTTGAGAGGGGTAGGATGAGACGGCAGCTAGCAATAAAAATTACACATGGAAGGGAGTGAGTTTAGATACCATCCATCCATATAGAGCAAGGATTCAGGAATGGCTATGTCCTCAAGGAAAAAGTTTTCTTAAAAAAATACTAACTCCATTGAGGTAAACACCTGGAAAATTTTTAATTTGGCCTTAGTTCTTGACAACAACTTTAAGCAAAAACTTACTTGAAAAATTAGTAACCATGTTACTGTTTTTCCCCGTGGAGTCTGAGGCCTACTTTTACATCATCTGTGTATTGGAAAAGACCTATCAGCCAAGAATTTTAAGGTGAACCCTGCTCTTTATCCAAATCCAAATAATTTAAGAAATAAGTAGGAAGAGAGGAAGTAAGAGAGAGAGAAATTGGGTGATTCTTAAAAAGTGGAAGTACATTTCTTGAAAAGGTTGTTGATGATAATAATAGTAGAAACAATAAATATATTTACCAAGTATATACTTGCCAAGCCTCATTTTAAGTCACTTTTATACTAATCTAATCAATCATCACAAAACCCTATGAGGTTAATATTATTATCCCCATTTTACAGATGAGGGAACTGAGGTGCAGAGATGTTAAGAAACTTGCATGGGTTATGGGTTGAATGACTTTTTAACAGCTGTATGCCCTCAGCCTCAGATTCATACGTTGAAGCCCTAACCCCTTGTACTCAGACTAGGATCTTACTGAAACAGAGTCATTGCAGATTAATTAGTTAAGATGAGGTCGTACTGGAGTAGAGTGGGCCCTTCGTCCACTATGATGGGTATCCTTATAAAAAAGAAATTTATTTTTTTAATGTTCATTTATTTTTGAGAAAGAGAGAATGTGCATGTACCTGCACACACGAGGGGCAGAGAGAGAGGGGGACAGAGGGGACCCAGGCACCTCTCTAAAAAGGAAATTTAAAGAGAGACATGCACGTGGGGGTGCCTGGATGGCTCAGTCAGGTAAGCATTCAACTTCGGCTCAGGTCATGATTTTGCGGTTGGTGAGTTGGAGCCCCACGTCGGGCTCTGTGCTGACAGCTCAGGGCCTGGACCCTGCTTCCAATTCTGTGTCTCTCTCTTTCTTTGCCCCTTCCTACTCACACTCTGTCTCTCTATCTCTCAAAAATAAATAAACATTAAAAAACAAGAGAGAGATATGCACACAAGGAGAATGCATATGAAATTGTAGTTATTGTTGCCATAAGGCAGGAACCACCAGAAGCCAGGAGGGAGGACTGGAAAACATTCTTCCCTAGTGCCTTCAGAGGGAACATGACCCTGCTGATAGCTTGATCTTGGACTTCTAGGCTCCAGAACTGTGAGAGAATCTATTTCTGTTGTATAAGGCACCCAATCTATGGCACTTGGTTGCAGCAGCCCTAAGAAGCTAATACACCAGGATGCATCATAGGAGGATCTGAGATGGGAAATAAAAGAGAATAAGAAACATGGAAGATGGAGTGAGAGGGCACAATATATGTCTGATCAGAAAAAGATAACAAAGCAAATATCTATTTGAATAGATAATATCTGATGATTTTCCAGAATTGCCAAAACCCATTAATCTTCAAATACAGGAATCACAATGAATCCTAAGCAGGATAGAAAAGGAATGAGGGAAGAAACTAGAAGAGAGGAGGGGAGGAAGGAAGGGAGGGAGGAAGGGAGACAATCATAAGTCCACTTCTAGCCACATTGTAGTCAAACTTCAGAACACCAAGGACAAAGAAACAATCTTAAAAAGCAGTCAAAGGGGCGCCTGGGTGGCGCAGTCGGTTAAGCGTCCGACTTCAGCCAGGTCACGATCTCGCGGTCCGTGAGTTCGAGCCCCGCGTCAGGCTCTGGGCTGATGGCTCAGAGCCTGGAGCCTGTTTCCGATTCTGTGTCTCCCTCTCTCTCTGCCCCTCCCCCGTTCATGCTCTGTCTCTCTCTGTCCCAAAAATAAATAAATAAACGTTGAAAAAAAAATTAAAAAAAAAAAATCAGTCAAAGAAAAAAGAGTTTACTACTAACAAATCTTTACTGAAGAAAAATGACCCCAGCAAAATGGCATAAGATGCCAGAAAGAATGGGTCTACATTCCCAGATTGATGATCCTGTGCCTAGCACTGGAGGTCCTCTGACAGAATGCTTGGGAAATGATCCTGTACCAAGGTTTGCTCAAAGTTCCAAACGGGTTCAAAGTTCTTGCAGCCCAGAGGTCCGTCCATAGCAGAAATGCTCACAGCACTGACGGAATACCTCTATTAGGACAGCTGGTCCCCTGCAGCCTGCTTTCTGATGCCATGTGGGTTCCTCCTCTGCAGCCACCCCTGTCAGGTTTCTTTTCGGATCCCCAGGAGGCTGAATGGCCAAAACTGCAGCCAACGTGGATTTCATGATCTTATTGGACTCAGAAACTTCTGGAGAGAGTTTTCTCTAGTTGAGGCCTGTAACTCTAACAGTTCCCTTTGATTTTTGGAGGTCGCTCTGGACGCATGTGAATTACTCATGAATTCACACCAACGTATAGCAAATATAAACCACAGTAAAGTGTGATAGTTACTTCTTGCTCCTTTCAACACTTAATCATTTACTGCCTCATTTATTTTGTCTCCAAGTATGCCTAAGTCCTTGAAATATACATATTTCATACTTTCTTTGAAACACTCAGGTCTGGCTAGCACAATGCTATACACGTAATAGGTGATGATGCAAACAAATATTTGTAGAGATGAAGGACTCGCAAGGGGAAGGGGTAGAGGAAGGCTTCAGATTGTTTACTTAGCCTGTTTAAGACCACGCTGCAGGTAGTAAAAGATCTGGTTGCAGAGTCTGCACTTTCTGGTGCCCATCCTGGCTCCCTTGGCTTACCAAGGAAGCCTGGCAGGCTGATTCGTTAAGGGGAGATTTCCTCTATAATCAGTATTATCCTGGATCAGTGTATCAGACAGGGTTCTTCAGAAAAACAGAGCCAAGAAGATGCAAACATATATAGACGAGAGTTATTGTCAGAAATTGGTTTGCATGATTATAGAGGCAGGAAAATCTCAAAATGTGTAGTTGGCAAGGTGGAGACCCAGGACAATGAATGGTGTAGTTGCCAAGGCCAACAGGCGGAAGACCCAGGAAGAGCCGATGTTTCCCTTCAAGTCCAAAGGCAGGAAAGACCCATGTCCAGCTCCAAGGCAGTTTGGCAAGAGGAATGTCTATCTTGGGAGAAGGTCAGTCCTTTGCTATTTGGTCCTTCAGCTGATTGGATTGGGCCTATCCACATTAGGGGGAGCAATCTGCTTTACTCAGTCCGTTGATTCAAATGTGAAATTCATCCCCAAACAACCTCACAAAAACACCCATAATAACGGTTGATCAAATATCTGGGCACCTTATGTCCAAGTGAAGGTGGCACATAGAATTAACCATCACAGTCACCTAGCATGAATTATGTTCTGTTGTTCAGGAGGCTCTCACAAGATTATTTGAGTCATAGGAGAATTCAAGATAATATTGACTGTCTAAGGTAGAGAAAGAGTAACATCTTTCAAGCAGTTTTGTGTATCTTCTTTGGTCTTTGCTCTCTTACTCTATGGTAGGATCACTTTTGCATTTCTTTTTGTATTTTTTTCCTCTGGTCATAGGTATGTTGGGAAAGAATATAAGGAGCAGAAGGGGCTCTGGCACCACTTCGCTGATGTGGAACGGCAAATGACCGCACAGCACTACGTGACAGAATTTAACAAGAGGCTTTATGAACAAAAGATCCCAACACAGATATTCTACATCCCGTCCACAGTATTACTGGTGAGATTAAAGGGAGTAAGGGTTTGCTTAAACAGGCCTATAAATATATGTCAGGTGAGATTTCTGGTAAAATCCAGTAAACTCAGTTACCAGACTCCTTCATCTACTTCGTCTGCTTTATCCACTTAGACATGTCAGAACTAAGACCCTCTCTACCCTGAATATACAATTTGGATCTTGGATCTCCCAAATCACTCTGTTAATTCTGGTATCTGGTCTGCATACATGGTCAAGTTGGCATTTGTAGTATCCTTTCTTTGTGTACTGTCTGTACTTTCAACGAGAGAAGAAGGACCCTGAAGATCATATGTAGTTCAAATTATTCCCTCAGCACGATGCATTCATTCCCTGTTTCACATCTGTTGGACCCCACCCCTTGGTGACCAAGTGATTACTAAGTCATAGCTTAAACACCTTTAGTAAGGAAAAATAATTATTACCTTTTCACTTTCAAATAATTCTAGTTGTTAGAAAGCTCTTAGATTTAGCCCAAATCTGTCTTCCTCTGAATTCTACCTGTGAATTACAGCTCTACCTTCTGGGGCCATCGAGACCAATGTGTTTTCACTAAGATATCTCTTTAAATATAGACAGGCAACAATCCGCCTCCACTGACTTTTCTCTTATTTGGATCAAGAATATTCTGCCTCCCCAACTATATCGAATCCTTAGCTCATTCACACCTAAAGGATTTTGTTTTACTTTGGCCAGAGACATTTTTAGACCCATATTCTATTACCACTAATAATAGCTATCATCCATTTTTCACTTTCTTTATGTCAAGCACTATGCCAGACATTTAACACATTAACCCTTGAAACAACTCTGCAAAATAGATGATACACACAAACGCTTAGCTGACATTCCAGTCCCGCGTCCCAGCACATGATCTATCCACATATCCAAACGGGCTAACTCCCTGGGGTAGGTCCCATCATGGCCTCATTTTTATGTGAGCATTTTTTTTTTTTAATTTTTTTTTTCAACGTTTTATTTATTTTTGGGACAGAGAGAGACAGAGCATGAACAGGGGAGGGGCAGAGAGAGAGGGAGACACAGAATCGGAAACAGGCTCCAGGCTCTGAGCCATCAGCCCAGAGCCCGACGCGGGGCTCGAACTCACGGACCGCGAGATCGTGACCTGGCTGAAGTCGGACGCTTAACCGACTGCGCCACCCAGGCGCCCCATTTATGTGAGCATTTTAAAGAATAATAATAATTTTAGGTTCTCTTATATATCACATAATGTGTTAACCACCCTACATGCATTTTTCTCATATAATTCTTTTAACACTCCTATAGGGGCTATTCTTATAATACCTGATTTACAAGCGGGCAAACCAAAATCTATAACAAAGCTCCTAAGTGGCAAAGCCTGGGTTCAAAGTGAGGTCTACTGGACCCCAGAGCCTGCAGCCTTCCTAGCCATTGTGGTATATTGTCTCCCATTTCTATTTTTCAGATTTTGGAAGGCAAGACAATAAAGGGATGTATAAGTGTGGAACCTTATATCCTGGGAGAATTTGTAAAATTATCAAATAATGCGAAAGTGGTTAAAACAGAATACAAAGCTACAGAATATGGTTTGGCATACGGCCATTTTTCCTACGAGTTTTCTAATCATAGAGATGTTGTGGTCGATTTACAAGGTATGTGAAATTGGGGATTATTTTTTTACTTTTAGTGTTATTCATATGTAAATATGAGATCTTGTAACTAGCTCTTCCAGTCATTATTTAATAGATTGTTCAGTGCCTAGACTACTATGTGTAATTAAATTAATCGATTTTATGGGGTGCCTGGGTGGTTCAGTCGGTTGAGCATCTGACTTTTTTTTCTTAGTTTTTTTTTTATTTTTTTTAAATTTACATCCAAATTAGTTAGCATATAGTGCAACAATGATTTCAGGAGTAGGTTCCTTAGTGCCCCTTACCCATTTAGCCCATCTCCCCTCCCACAACCCCTCCAGTAACCCTCAGTTTGTTCTCCATATTTATGAGTCTCCTCTGTCTTGTCCCCCTCCATGTTTTTATATTCTTTTTGTTTCCCTTCCCTTATGTTCATCTGTGTTGTCTCTTAAAGTCCTCATATGAGTGAAGTCATATGATTTTTGCCTTTCTCTGATTGACTAATTTCACTTAGCATAATACCCTCCAGTTCCATCCACATAGTTGCAAATGGCAAGATTTCATTCTTTTTGATTGCCAAGTAATATTCCAATGTGTATGTGTGTGTCAGGGGGTGGTGGTGTGTGTATATACACACACACATACCACATCTTCTTTATCCATTCATCCATCCATGGATATTTGGGCTCATTCCATACTTTGGCTATTGTTGATAGTGCTGCTATAAACATGGGGGTGCATGTGTCCCTTCAAAACAGCACACCTGTATCCTGTGGATAAAGAACATCTGACTCTTGATTTCAGCTCAGGTCGGGATCTCATGGTTCGTGAGTTCAAGCCCTATATCGGGCTCTGTGCTGATCGTGCAGAGCCTGCTTGGAATTCTCTCCCTCTCTTTCTCTCTCTGTCCCTTCCCCACTTGTTCTCTCTCTCTCTCTCTCTCTCTCTCAAAAAAAAATAAACTTAAAAATAAATAAATTTAATAAATTGATTTTACTATATGTAGCAAGTGCTGTCTGAAAAAAAAAATGTGTAAAGGTTCTACAAGTGTCTAGAGTAATACATAATCAGTGAGAAGATCTGCCTCACATTCTGTTGAGCTTAATTCTAGAGCAAATCCACAACAGCTTTTTAAAATTTCACTTAAGTGTATTTGAGTGATGTAGGTTTTTTAATATTGCATGTTTTAATATGTGAAAATCTTTCCACTCTTTCATTTCTTCAGCCCTTTACCCTTATTACAAGTGTGATATTGGGTTTCATAAATGGTGATCATTATGGAACAGAAAGTTGTGTGTACAAAAATCTGACTTTTTAAAAATTTTCTGCATTTATATTTTAATTTTGTTTCAGTTCATCTAGTATTTTATTTATCAGAACTATTATACTGATATAAGAGCCAATACTCTTCACTTCATTTAAATGATAAATGAGGTTTATTATAATTATTTTTAATAATGATTCTATGACCATTCCCCAAGATTTTGTCTACTCCCCTTCTGTAGCATTTATCATCACTCTCTGCCATATTATATATTTTATGTACTTATATTGCTTCTTAATCTGTCCCACTTCACCAGAATATTAGCTCAATGAGTGTAGGGATATTTTTTATTGGTTTTTTTTTTTTTTTGAGAGAGAGAGAAAGAGAGTGCATGTGCATGAGTGGGGAAGGGAGAGAGAGAGAGAGAATCTTAAAATTTTTTTAATGTTTATTTATTTTTGAGAGAGAGACAGAGCATGAGCGGGGGAGGGGCAGAGAGAGAGGGAGACACAGAATCCAAAGCAGGCTCCAGGCTCCGAGCTGTCAGCACAAAGCTCTATGTGGGGCTTGAATTCATGAGCAGGGAGATCATGACCTGAGCTGAAGTCTGACCCTTAACCTACCGACCTACCGACCGACGACCAACCGACTGACACACCCGGGGGCCCTGAGAGACAGAATCTTAAGGAGGCTCCACACTCAGTGCAAAGCCTGACTCAGGGCTCCATCACACAACCCTGGGATCATGACCTGAGCCAAAATCAAGAGTCAGCCACTCACCAAACTGAGCCACCCAGGCACCCCAAGTGTAGGAATTTTTGACTCACTCGTTCATTGCTAAATCCCCAGTACTCAAAACAGTGTCTTGTACAGCATGTATACTCAATAAGTATTTGTTAAATGAACAGATGAATATATGAATTAATGAGTTAGGCACTAAATAAACTTATGCATCATGAAATAAATATTCAATATATTGTGATCTTAGTAATTAAACTAAGTGCATTTTACTGCTCTCCAATTCCTTGAAAATTGGTGATCTAGGTATGTCATAGCTGACAAATTTAATTACTCAGCATTTAGTTTCCCTTTTTAAACCAATTATTGGAGTATGCAATACCAAATCCCTTAGCAGAAATTTATTAAAAGTAAACCATTATGACCAGGTTTTTAAAATATCTCTTTAAGCATATACATTTTATTTCTCTGAAACACATTACTGACATTTGTAGAGGATTTAATTCTCATACATATTTATTTCTCTTTTAGGTTGGGTGACTAGTAATGGAAAAGGGCTTATCTATCTGACAGATCCCCAGATTCACTCTCTTGATCAGAACGATGTCACTACCAATTTTGGAAAGAAGGGAATTTTTTACTTCTTTAATCACCAGCATTTGAAATGTAATGAAATATGCCATCGTCTTTCTTTGACAAGACCTTCAGCTGAGAAACCAAATAAGTCATAGACTATCTGGTGTGGTAATGGGATGGGCTTGGTGCCACTCATGGGAGCTGGGTCTTTCTCTTCCCCCAGGCACACACAGTATAGTGAAGCCTGGTCCCCTCAGACTTAGGCAGGGCTGTGGGACTACTTCTGGCCAATGACTTGTGAGAGGAATTAGTGCCTATCCATTTCAGACCCATATTTAATTGCCAGTGTGACTTGCTATGGAGTTAGTTCTGCCACAATTACCAAGAATATGTCAGGAGACAGCTGCTTATCGGCATAAGTACTACAATGAGGGCAACACGGGAAAGGCCCCCAAGTGACCCATCATGGACACAAAACAGATGAGAAATAAACTTTTGTGTTTAAGCCATTGAGATTTTGGAGTTTTTTGTCACTATCAATGCTGATACCATGAGTGTTTTTCTTATTGCAATATTTAGGAGTTCTCTGTACATATTAAAGAATTCAGGACATTGTGATAGAAGTTACAGTTTTTTTTCTCTTTGTCATCTGACATTTGACTTCATATGAAACTTTTTCTTCCATGCAGAATTTAATACAGTTGAATTCATTAATCTTTTATTTTATGGCTCCTAGGTTGCATGTCATATGTAGATCCTCCTGACCATGGGTTTATTTTAATCCCACTATATATATATATATATATATATACACACACACACTTATATTTATATTTATATTTATATATATACTTATATATACTTATACCCTTATATATATACACTTATATATATACTTATATATATTTATATATACTTACATTTATATATATATTTATATTTATATATATATATATTTTTTT